TCGCTGAAAGATCTCAATTGCTCTTTGAGGGTTTCCAGCCTTCATTAACCCATCAATATAAGCATTGTATACAATTGCACCTGGCCAAAATTAGAGTATACGCTCACTTTTCACTCATTGAATGTGCATGCAAGTGTATCAACAGAACAGCTTGAAAAATGAAAATCTGAGACGTGTAAATAAGAGAACGAAACACAAAAGCAGAACTAATGCCCTGTATTTGACCACCGCAAAAAGAAGAGAAATAACCCACGCATTCTCATAAAGGAAAGCTACAGAAGCAAGTTTGTCATCTAGAACAGTCTAGCCTAATCCAGTTCCGGTCTCGCTAAATTAGCAAGGGGTCCCTCTTGGTTTAATCAACCAATCTCTAAGCATGGTGATGTAGATAAGGAGTAGTTATCACTACTATTATAGTAGCAACAAGAAATATGCAGACCATTAACCAATCTTCTCTTTTCCTACGTTTAGTATACTTCACCCCCGAAAAGAAAAAATAAACACAGCTCTGTGCAATTATTGAGCGAGGTTTCAAAATTTAAAACGAATTTAACCCCACAAAAAATCAATTTTTGAGGAAAAGAATCTTAAAAGTTGAGGAAATTTTTGATTTATAAGAAATGGTTGATGTAGTCCAATAACTTCTTGAAAATACAATTCCCCTGAAAGCTAAGAAGAAATGAATTGGTAAACACATACTTGGAGGAAGGCTATACTTTCGCATATCAACAAAGGCAGCTTCAGCTTTTTCTAACAATCCACATGCACAGTAAGCCTTTATAAGAAGGGCATAAGTGTCTTCAGTAGGGATACACCTGGCATGAAGAAGATCAAGATATGTTTCTTCTGCCTTCTTGTACAAAGATTTTTGCCCATAAGCATCTATTAGTAAATTGTAGCACATGACATCTGTCTGGAAGGAGCTCTTGTACAATATCCATTGACATATCTGGAAATTTTAGAGTTGCACCCAACAAGATTATTAAGAATTAAAAACACTCGATATTAAAAATGTCGATATAATAAATAGACAGTAAAGAGATTTGTTTCATTTAGTTGTAGGAAAATGCTGGTATATGAGAATTCCAAGCACCAACTGCGGCACCAACCACTTAAAGGAGATTTGAACAATCGAGGATTCAGTCTTAATGTTTGAAGAGAAAAATACTGTGCAAACATCCTGCCACAAAAATATGTGCGTGTGGTTTAATCCATCGCCTACCACCCTACACGCTGAAAGAAATAAGGCACGATTTACTCACCAATGCAATCGGATCCCATTGTTTATTCAAACGAAGTTGGACGGCTACATTAATAAGATCATCCCAAGTCTCGTGAGTGACAGGAAGAGTATCAAGAGCAGCCCAAACATTATTCGGATCCACTTCTTTCCGCACAAAGTTCAGAATCTGATGAGCAACAGGACTTAGCACCGGGAAAATCCCATCAACAAATCCTGATCCATATTTCCATCCTTGTCCCCTCAAAGAGCCACCTAGGTAAAATGGATGACTCAATAATTAAAACCATATTTTCTTGAGAAGTTATATGTATGAGCACAAAGTGAATTACTCCGTATTACATCGTTTCCTGGACATCTTTTTGTGATCAAAGATTCGCCATTTGCCATGTTTGTCGATATAGACCCTGTCGCTTTTCCACATTTTAACATCTCCAATACTGGAATTCTTTTCTCTGCGTCTGAAATGACCATTCCGGATTCTTGATTCTATAAAAATATGATTCAGTGTGCATCTAACAAGCAACCTGCAAACACTAATCAAGTAAACACACAATTGCCAGCAACAAACATACACACCTCTTAATTTAAAGCCATTACACAGAGGAAGCAACCAAATAAAATCCATATAAAGGATGCTTTAGACTTCAAAATAATTGGACAAAGAGAGACACTAAAACTACTTTTAATCACAATAGCAAACACATGAAATGCAAACCAGAAAACCTAGTTAAAAAAGAAGAAGAAAAGTTGTCAACTTTCCCTTTCTAAACCAAATATCTTCTCCCTTTCTTCCGCAATAATTCTTAACTGCTGTGAGTATAGGTTGTATTTTCATTACAGAATCAAATATTAGTCTAATCTATCTGATTAAACTACAAAAATCAAAATTTGCAAGATAAACAAGGCCACAACTGTTGAAGACTGGTTAGAGTTCAACAACGATAAGCATAGCACCCTGACAGCTAAAACTGGTCCATCATCTTATAACTTCTTAAGTCACGGTAAGACTTTTCAGATAATGATGATTGCTCGTTCAATATATATGAGAGCCAACAAAATGCTAAAATGTTTTAACTAATAAGAACACAAAACAATTTAGACATAATCTCTCAAGTGAACGTTGATACATAGCAATTCCGTTGAAACCCATTTCCCAGAACAAGAAATTCCATGAAAAAGCAATATTATCCAGCTAGAGGAGAAACACCAGAATTGAAGTTAATAAATACAGAAAATAACAAGGCAGCATGAACAGCATTAGCAGTGGCATTGCATAAGGTAAGAGAGGAAGGAAGGATACGACTTACATGAAAGCATAAAAGAGGAGTTTGGAGTTGGGTATCTGTAAACATCCAGAAAGCAAGAAGATATGTGAAGAGTGTTTCTTGGATAATGGACTACATGGGTGAAGACCAGCACTGCCAGACAAAAGCAGCTTCTGTTTTTTTCTGTTTACTAAGGGACAAGCCTCAAAATATCTCTAACGAACTTAAGGAGTCAAACAATAGCATTATTGTAGCCTCGTGGTGTCTGAGGTTGCATGGGATTCTATATTGAGACAGTAGCTTATAGCTAGAATAATCAATTCTAAAAATGTTCATTTTTAATAATAATAAAAAGAAGAAGATCAGATGTTAATTTGTTTAAACACAATGGACAAATTATTGTCATTATTATTAGTATAATTTAACAGCAAAAACTCCAGCATGAGACCCGTTGCAAAGACGAAGCTATGAAGTGCCACTTCAGTTGCTATTTACTAGCAGTAGTTTCCATGCTACAAAAGCGAAAACTGCTGTTAAAAGGGTTAAAAGGCTTATTGAGGTTGAGGTGATTTTTTTATTTTTTTTAAATTAATTTGTTTTATATTTTCAGACTTAATATTAATTTTTTAAAATAATAATAAAAATATCGTTTTAATATAATTCCAAGCAAAAACATATTTCAAGGGCGAACACTTCCATTCTCTTAATATATACGGGGTTACGTCATGCATTTCCATTTTTACAACAGTAGTTTTGGCTGCAATTGAGGAGGGGCAAAATAAGCTATAACTTGTGTGACTTGGATTAAATTGAAGAACTTGAAGATATAGAGTCTAAACTGAAAAATTGAGGAAAGTACAAGGACCCAAAAAATAAAGGAAGCATTTTAATTCGATATCCATATTCCATGGTCCCTCTCTTTCCCTCTTCGGGGCTCCATTGGAATTAAATGAGAACGGTCATATTACAGGTCAAGCATTGAGAGGAGATAAATATAATTGAAGAGACCAATTTTCTGCACTCTGTCAAACGTATCATATAGGAAATCATATTGATGCAAAACTTTAGAAGCCATCTAAGATTGGAGAGAAGTCTTATAACATTTCCACATCACAGTTCTACAAACATGGAATTAATGGAAACTTCGGCTAAAAGCAACTGATTCAAGCAAATTCCAGAGGAAAGTAACACAAGGATCTCGATTGGCGTCAATACTGGGAAGAACTCCACTTTAGACAAAAAATACAATGTCTATTCCACTTCAGCCAAATAATCATCAATTTCGGCTGGAGTTAGTACCCTGCAGGAAAGAAAGCACAAGGGATAAGATTGCCATGGTCATGCCACACATAAATTCTCCAAGGAAGCTTAAACATCCAAAGAAAGAGTGGATTGGCCATTTTGAATGAGTCTCGTATGTAAATTGTCAGACTGAAATTAGAGCAAGAGTGCGAGAAAATCAGAACTTCAAAAATGAAACCACAAGTGGAAGGCCATATATGAAATTGGTGAGATCCAAAAGATTTTTGATATCAGATTTTATCTAGTTATGAACCGTGTTAACAAAAATGTGCATCCTGCAAGTTACTTCTGAAACTCATCCTAAGCTTCAAATTACGTGACACTATTACCAAGTTTAATAAGGAAAAAGGTCAAGAAAGAGCATGCCTGAATTGCTTGTCAGCACCAATTATCCCAATTTCAATGTTTTTCCCAGAAATCTGGCCTTCAAATCTGCAAACACAAACAATCTTGTAAGGGTACAAGGGAAGCACTCAGAACTTGTAAGAAACTTTAAAATGCTCACTTATATCTCTCTGACCACTTTGCAAATACTAAGATTATGCTCACTAATCCACCATCACTCTGATTGTAGAAGCAAGAGTCAACAAATTGACAACTTCTTAAAATCACTAAGAGGAGAGAAGGAATCTTTAATCACCTGCAAGTACATTTGATTGACACTGGGTTGAGAAACTTTCATTCATTTTCACTTAAACAGTATCTCACATAATTATATCTCCTGAACTACTAACTAAAGTGTTGAGAGCCAATTTAAGTTCTCAAGGCTGAAGACCCGAGCTAAACTACTGTTACCCAGAATTCATTTTACCTACGACACTCAGAACGTGTGACAGACAATCACAATACCTAAATGGCTGGATTTATCAGTAAATCAATCAATTATGTAATCAACCAGGTGCAAGTGCATGGCGCAAGTATATTAAATCTACTGAAAATTTTTCTTCCGAACCGGGTGCAAGTGCATGGCGCAAGTATTTTAAACCTACTGAATTTTTCTTCTACTTTTTATACACCAAACCTTGTAAAAAACACCACGGCTCAAATTCAAAAATAAAAAGTGGAGGAAATTTTAAAGTGATGTACCCCTCTTTTAGTGTCAAGATAGCGGTGTGCACAGCATCATCAACCTCCATATCATCAGTGTATCTACAGAGCACATGCTAAGTTAGGGAAAACGAAATTTGTTCAAATCAAATGAAGATGGGGACAAAAAACCACAATATTTACCATGTTTCTGTCCATTCCATTCTTTTTTTCTCAATTTCTTTTTTCTTTTTCTTTTTTTTTTTATAAAAAAAAGACAATCCAATTCTTCTTGTATGGGAAAGATGAAGTAAAATAAATTATATAAAGAAAGAGGGGAGTAGCACAAAGTATGCTGGCAGTTGAAAATTGAAAGTAGCTTGAACTTTGAATGAAGAATATGTTTAGCAGTTGATGGCTGGAGGTGGAAACACATTTGTTGCTAGCTAGGAGAACCCATGAAGATGTTTAGAAGTTTTTGCAGAATCAATGCATTTCATGGTACCAAAAACAAATAAATACCTCTTCTCAAGAAATGTTTTTGCATTTGAAACATTCTTCCCCATTGCTGAGGCTTTCCATGAGAAGTAGGAACCTGATGGATCGACCTAGCCAAACAAATACAAAACATAACATCATCAGAAGAACTATGATTTGAGTGCAGGAGTCTAACATATTTTTAAAAAGGCAACACAAGTGAGTCATAATCCATCCAAATCTCAACCAAGAAAACAAAAGGTCAAAAAGTTATCAGCCACTCTGGGCACACAGAAGGGTGCATAATAGTCACAAAGGCCTACAGCTTCTAGAATACTGAGCTACCCCAGTCTACAGAGGATAATCCAGATAAAAACAATAAAAAAACAGTTAATGACTTCAGACAATATTATGAGGAAACACAGATACCTGGTACAGCTGTGGACCTTTTTCATCAAAACCAGCAACTAGCAAAGATACTCCAAAAGGCCTTACACCTCTGCAAGGAAAAACAAAGGATGAGTATTTTCAAACTTCAAGGATAAGAGCATGAAGAGTTGACATGCTGATGCAGGAACATAGGGAGAGAGTTGTTCGGTTATTAGAATAAGAGCTAAGGTTATGAACTTTGGAAATTGAAATTCTGATCTAAATTACAGAGGAAATCAACTAAAACCACTGAAACACTTCGAATGTATAAAAGATTTTCCAGTACCCAGATTGAGTAAACTCTTGCATGCCAGCAGCAGTTTCCCTCACAAGTTGTGTGACAGGAATTGGTTCCTACAATCACAAAAATTCACAAGTTAAAACCTTCACGATTAACAACAAAAGATGACAATGAATTGATATGAAATGGTAATTGGACACTCTTGGATTTCATGCTAAATTCAGCTGTTTTTGGGGTCAGAATGGCATTATTGGGAATAAGACAACTAACAATAAGTCTTGTAATATAGACAACCTCAATAACTACTTTCCAGATATATCATCTTAACCGGGTTATCAAGCATTAGATGAATTATATACATGAGTTTGTTTAGAGGCGTCAAAAGGATGCACATATCCCATTCATAAGATAAGCCATGAAAATTTAGCAACCTTATCACTTATCGGTGACATTAAAATAAGAGCTGAAGAACAAACGTGAAGCAAAATAATAAAGAAAATCTTGAAGATGGGTACCTTGTACAGCCTATGATATTGCTCTGCTTGCTTCCTACTTTTCCGAACCAAACTCGAAAGTCAGGACCCATTCCACTGCAACAAAATACATGTGATTCAGCACTGTCAAGAAAAAAGTACATTCGAAAATGTTTACTTACAGAAGATTCCACTGCAACAAAGTGTTTCTTGAATTTCTTCTTGAATTTCAACCAAAGAACATAACAAAACAAATAAAAAAATAATAAATGTTTACTTACAGAAGATTCATCGACTAAAATAGATGGCAATTTCTTCTCAGTTGCAATAACAACACCGTTTGCCGCTACAACACCAAAAATAATAAAATAAAAAGCATAGTATCTAAGCACCCATCAACAACACAGTACATTCGAAAATGACAAGAAAATGAGAGAGAGAGAAAAGAGAGATAGCTTAAATTGCAACAACCTTTGATTCCGAGACAACCTTTGATTCCGAGAGAAGTTTGGCCTGATCCAACGGCAGTCAATGCGTGCTCAATCTGTACTAGCTTTCCGGTAGGACTGAAAGTAGTGAGAGAAAAGGAGTACTGGCTATCACCCATGGTTTATTGCTTGACGACGCAGAGATGAAAAACTGAGAATGCGAGCGTGTGGGAGAGAAAGACAGGGACATTTACTTGGGGTTTTAACATTGCTTTTCTTGTTGGAGAAGAAGGTGTTTTCTTACGAGGGCTTTTACAATGGAGTATTTTGAGCTTTTATGACGGCAGGTTGGCCCTCTTTACATTGAGCTGAATGGAGGCTTTGAACCAGTTTCGTTTTTAAGTATTATTAATAAATTTTTATTTATTTATTAACATAAATATTTATTTATTTATTTGATTATATGTACATAAATTTTTTAAATTATAAAAATATATTTAAAGAACTAATTTTTTATAAAAAATAAAAATATTTGACTTTCAATAAATCACTTATATTTTTAGAAAAAATAAAAATATTTAACTAATAAAGTAAATTAGGTTTTTTCACTGAATTTTGTTGAAGATGAAGATATTTTGTGTTAGGTTTAAATAATTTGATTTAGATTTAATTCAAGTAAGTTTGTTTTTCAGTTTTTCAGTGTAGTTATAGTTATTTTTTAAATAATTTTTTTATATTAAAATATATGTTAATAAATTTTTTTATTTTTAAAAATTATTTTTAACATCAAATATTTTAAAATATATAAAATATATTAAATTTTAGCATAAAATTATTATTTTTTGAATATTTTAGAAAAACGGTTTGGTAGCCCCTTATCAGATGAGGCTCCACGTTATAAAGGCATAAGAGAGAGAGAGAGAGTGAGAGAGAGGGAATGTGAGAAATAATTACAGTAAAGAGGATGTGAGAGAGAAAGGGATACGTTTATCACAGCTGCAATTGATAGAATAAATGGCAAGTAGGAAATAAAATCCAATTACAGTAAATAGGTAATATTGAATGAAATACTCCATGTAAGCAAGGCTTATATATTATTTTACACTCAACCTTAGCAAACTCCAATAAAATAATTACTACCCTCAAAGCAGGTTCTAAAGAGTTCTTTTGCCACTTAAGCACTCAACCTTCCTCACCCAATCATCAAAACAAATGTTTGGGATGTGAGAAATCTTTTGCCAATCTTCACCCATCTCCTCCTCGTAACGTTTCCTTAAATTGGGGCAACTCCTTATGTGTAATTCCTGTAGAGGCGCTGCCAAGACATAGTCTGGTAGTTCTCTCAACAACGGGCAATTACGAATTGTCGACTGTCGAAGTTGTGGCATAATGGATATTGAAGTTGTGGTGGCATCTTCTCCTCCCACTGATCTCCTTTCAATTCCATCCCCCTCTTCTACTTCTGTGAGATTCCAAATCTCAAGTTTTTTTAATTTGGGGAAAGCAGTGACCCTTGCAATATCTCCATCATTAATACTGCCATTCTCATCTTTTTCTATACCTAAAAATCCAGCATCCAACCTTCTCACCTTCAACGACCTCAATTCCAGGCTTTCAAGGTTGGGCAATCTCCCCAACGGAGGCAAGACCTCCACGTTTTCACAATAACGGAGTGTAAGCACCTGTAAACTGGTTAATGTCATCATCCAATTTGGCAATTCCAACCCTCTGTACCAACATATGGTTAGATATTCCAAGCCTGACGGAGGCTGTAAAGCTTCAATTACAATGCCGTTCTCCTGGTTGTAGTAGAAATTCAATTCCAAACAAAGCAGGCGCTTCTTATTCTTGAGTTGTGCTTCTGCAGCACCACTCGCATCTTGTAGATTCCATATCTTAAGACTCCCTCCAATGTGATTTAAGTTTTTTAATTCTCTTAGATTAGCTGCTTTACTCTCATTCTCACCACCACCACACACAGTAAACCAATCTAATGTTCGAAGACATGTTATCCTCTCTATTCCCTTTGGTATGAAGGCCACACCTGAACCATAAATCTGGAGATGCCTCAATTTGATAAGTTTTCCAATCGCCTTAGGTAATTGCTTGAGAGACCTACACCGAGTAACGTCTAGGGATTGCAGATTGCATAAATCACACATGGTTTCTGGCAGGGACTCCAACACCATACAAGATGCCAAATTAAGGTGTCTCAAATGTATCAATTTCCCTATCTCGTTTGGTATTTCTTCGGTTGAAGACCCTTCCTCGTTTGGTATTTCTTTGATTGAAGACCATGTCAAATTCAATGACATGATGCATGTCAACTGCTTGAACAAATCAGGCAGTGCAGCTCCAAGCGAAGGGTCTCTAGTGTCGATCAAGAGGCTGCGAAGACCTTTTGCTTTGTGAATGGACACAGGAAAAGAGCTCTCCTCTGATAACATCATACTTAAATGACGAACCGTTTCAATTGAAGTCTCCACTGTTGCTTCTCCAAGGTTGCTCCACTGTTGCTTCTGCAAGTGTATTGACATCCACTGTTAGACATTCATTTTTTGTCAAATATTGGGCAAAATCATGCACTATATCATGCATCTTGAATTTCTTTCCTTCAAATTTATCCGTCTCAAAATCTCGGAAGAAAGAGCACGCTGCTAAGACTTGAAAGTACTGCTCTCCTACAAGCTCCATATCTCCACCTGAAGTCTCCTTGAGGTAACCTTGAGCCATCCACATCTTCACCAATTCATATTTTCCCATCTCGTAGTCTTTTGGAAACATGGCACAATACAAGAAACATCGTCTTACCACAGAAGGTAAATCATAGTAACTCAAAAGCAAAGGTATAAATATTCCTCTTTCAACCTGATCTCTATCAACCTCATCTGGCCCCCACAGTTCGCTAGATAAAACACGTTCCCACTCTTCTCTTGTTCTTTTAGACTGCATTAACACCGAATTTGAACAAATTTCTAACAGCCGATGTCACTAAACTCAAATTACTCCTAAGAATCCCAATATAAACCCATTAACTATAGACCAACACCTCATTGGCTAGAATCCACGTTGCTTTTCCACAACAATCATCAGCTTCTTCAGTTGGAGTGCTACAAGCCCATGTCTCTATACTTATGTTATTACTAAAAGTTCGCATGGCCAACCCGAAAAATTCACAAAGAAAACACAATCAAAAACGCAAAAAAAAAAAAAAGAACAAAAGGGTTTCTTGAATTTCAACCAAAGATTATAACAAAACCAATAAAAAGATTAATAAATGTTTACTTACAGAAGATTCATCGACTTAAATAGATGGTAATTTCTTCTCAGTTGCAATAAAAACACCGTTTGCCGCTACAACACCAAAAAAAAAAAAAATCAACAACATACTATCTAAGCACCCATCAACAACACAGTACATTCGAAAATGACAAGAAAATGAGAAAAAAAGAAGAAGAGAGAGAGCTTAAATTGCAACAACCTTTGATTCCGAGAGAAGTTTGGCCTGATCTAACGGCAGTCAATGCGTGCTCAATCTGTACTAGCTTTCCGGTAGGACTGAAAGTAGTGAGGGAAAAGGAGTACTGGCTATCACCCATGGTTTATTGCTTGAAGACGCAGAGAGGAAAAGCTGAGAATGCGAGCGTGTGGGAGAGAAAGACAGGGATATTTACTTGGGGTTTGAACTTTGCTTTTCTTGTTGGAGAAGAGGGTGTTTTCTTGCGAGGGCTCTTACAATGGTGTATTTGGGGCTTTTATGACGGCAGGTTGGTGCTCTTTACATTGAGCTCAATGAAGGCTTTAATTTTTTAAACTTAACTTCATCCGGGTCAGTTCACGGGAGGAGAAGTTTTTTTTTTAAGAAAATAAAATAACATTATTTTTAGTAATTTTTTTAAATGGTATTTTACCTGAGCCCGCAGGCTATATATAAAGTTTTTTTAAAAAAATAATATTTTTTTAATATTTACTTGTTATTTTTATTCTAAAAAGTATGAGATTTTCACTTTATATTTGTTATTGTATAAAATTTTATTTTTTAATTTGGTCTTTAATCTTTGATTTGCACAGTCAAGTTCTATTTAAAAAACAATTAATTTTAATTTTTTATAAAAAGATTGGATTGGAAGAGAGGGAACTAAAATGAAAAACATAAGAGACATGGGTAACACATCATAAATTTTAAAAATATTTATTTTAATTTTCTAACTTAAACAATCATGTAAATTATATAATGTTGGTTCCTTAAAATTGTTCCAATTCCATTTTGGTGCAAAGATTTATTTTTATTATTTTTTAATTCCTGATTAAGAGAGTAGAGAGAGGGATCACTAGATTTCAATAATTAAAAAAAAAAAATTTCATTGACACCAACTTAAACCACTGAAATAAAAGATATTTATGTCAGATTATTAAGGGAGTTCTTATTAGGTGTTTTTGTAATTTAAAAATTCATAAAAAATAGATATTAACTCAGGTTAATTTTTTTATTTCAGATTATGTTCCGTTTTTAAGGTAGTTTTTTGGATCTAGTATGGTTTCTTGATCCAAGTATTTAGGATCTTACATAGTTGCTATAAAAATATAACTTACATAGTTGATTTTTTTATTTCAGATTATGTTCCGTTTTTAAGCCGTGCAGGACTTAGGATTATTTGGGTCGTGTACTTGATAGAATTCAACGTTATTTTTGAGTTCTGCAACTAATAATTTATATTTAATATCTAAATAAAACTAAATGTAAAATTAAGTATAATTTGATAAAATTATTATTAAAATATATTTGGTAAAATTAGTAGATGATATAACATTTTCTTTCAAATTCATCAATTATTTTATTAATAATATTAATTACAATAAAATATACTCTTACAAATTTTAATAAAAATAATAATATTTTATAATACAACTGATAACATTTTTAGTATTAATATAAACAAAATATTATTTGTAACACCAATAATAATAATATTTTTTAGATTAATACTATTAATTAGACTAAAAATAATATTAAAAAATAATAATAATATTTTTAATACTAATACAATTAATTATACTAAAAAAATATATTAAGAAAAAAATATAATAATACTTTTAATATTAATTATACTAAAAAAAATATTAACAAAATAAATAATAATATTTTTAATACTAATACTTATAATTATACTAAAAATATAAGTAGTACAAGCTCCAAGTGGCGCTTGGACTACACTAAAGAGAAAGCATATTATTTTAAAATATTATTTATCCACTAATTGCAATTGAATTTAAAATAAATACACTTTTAAAATTAATATAAAGTTATCAAGAGTCAATTTAATAGCTGCTTGCATAAAATCTCATTGAATTTAGCCAATGTTTTTTAGAATAAAGTGAAATAAAAAGTTATTTCAAAACATAACCAGTGTGATTTTTAGTTATTTGTCTAGAAACTTTAGTATATCCCATAAAAATCATGAGTTTTGGATGAAGTAAAATCAATTCTAAAATCAAACTTCGATTGAAGCTTCAACTGCAATTGTGAGTTAGAGAATTTAATTTATTAAGTCTGGTTTGTTTTTACATTTCAAAAAAAAATTTGAAAATTTTAATTTTAATTTTTTTTTAATTATTATATTTTTTTAGTGTTTTTGATTATTTTAATACATTGATATAAAAAAATTTTAAAAAAATATTATTTTAATATATTTATAAATAAAAAATATTTTAAAAATCAACCACAGCAACACTCCCACATATATTATTAATATTTGTAACCATCTAGGTGGTGCCCATGTGGTAAAAACTTGGGACTAAGAGGTTTGCTCCCTCTGTGGTCTCAGGTTCGAGTCCTTGGTTGTTCATATGATGGCCACTGGAAGCTTACATGGTCGTTAACTTCAGGGCCCGTGGGATTAGTCGTGGTGCGCATAAGCTGGCCCGGACACCCACATTAATCTATAAAAAAAAAATATTTGTTCAAAACTTGTGCTTTTTAAAACATGCATTTTACTGCAAAGAAAGCATATCCTAAAATATGAAAAGATAGGTTTAAATACCCTAAATATCGGTAAATAACTAGAAAACAATCAATAAAAAATAATAAAACTAAAATCCAAAATTATCAAGGAGAAAATCTAAAATATGGTCTGAAATTTGATACAATAAATGGTAAGTAGGAAATACAACTCAAAGTCAACAATATACAGTAAAGAGGTATATGAACATACCGCTTCCGTGAATCCGTAGTGGTGTCTTAACTGTAAATATCAATGTTTGGGATGTGAGAAATCTCTTGCCAATCTTCGCCCATCTCCTCCTTCCCGTAACGTTTCCTTAGAATGGGGCAACAACTTATCTCCCATTCCTGTAGAGGCGCTGCCAAAACATAGCCTGGTAGTGCTCTCAACAATGGGCACTCATCAATCATCAAATCTCGAAGTTGTGTTGGTATCTTCTTCTCCCACTCTCCTTTCAATTCCATCCCACTCTTCTACTTCTTCGAGACGGTCCATCCAAAGTTTTTTTTAATTTGGGGAAAGCAGTGACCCTGGCAATTTCTCCTTCATTAATATTGCCATTCTCATCTTTTTCTATACCTAAAAATCCAGCATCCAGCCTTCTAACCTTCAACGAGTTCAATGCCAAGCTTTCAAGGTTGGGCAAACTTCCCAACGGAGGCAAGACCTCCAGCTTTGTACATTCATACGGTTCAAGTGCCTGTAATCTGGTTAATGTCATCATCCAATTTGGCAAATCCAACCCTCCGTACCCATATGTGGTTAGATCTTCCAAGTCTGACGGAGGCCGTAAAGCTTCAATTAAAGAGCCTTCATTTGCTTGCAACTCTGTTTTCTCTCCGATGAAATAATTAAAATGCCGTTCTGCCGGCTGTAGTCGAAAGCCAATAGCAAACAACGCAGGCGTTTCTTATTCTTGAGTTGTGCTTTTGCAGCGTCACTCGCATCTTCTACACCTCCCCGTAGGTTCCGTATCTCAAGACTCCCTCCAATGTGATTTAAGTTTTTTAATTCTCTTAGATTAGCTGCTTTACTTTCATTCTCACCACCACCACACACAATAAACTTATCTAATGTTCGAAGACATGTTATCCTCTCTATTCCCTTTGGTATGAAGGCCACTCCTGAACCATTAATCCAGAGATGCCTCAATTTGATAAGTTTTCCAATCGCCTTGGGCAATTCCCTGAGAGAACGACACCAAGCAACGTCTAGGGATTGCAGATTGCATAAATCACACATGGTTTCTGGCAGGGACCCCAACTCTCCACAAAATTCCAGATTGAGGTGCCTCAAATGTATCAATTTCCCTACCTCGTTTGGTATTTCTTTGATTGAAGACCCTGACAAATTCAATGCCTGGTGCATGTCAACTGCTTGAACAAATCAGGCAGTGCAGCTCCAAGCGAAGGGTCTCTAGTGTCGATCAAGAGGCTGCGAAGACCTTTTGCTTTGTGAATGGACACGGGAAAAGAGTTCTCCTCTTACAGCATCAAGCTTAAGTGACGAACCCTTTCAATTGAAGTCTCGACTGTTGATTCTCCAAGATTACTGACATCCATGGTTAGACATTCATTTTTTGTCATATATCGGGAAAATTCATGCACTATATCATGCATCTTGAATTTCATTCCTTCAAACCGATCCCTCTTAAAATCTTGGAAGAAAGAGCGCGCTGCTAAGACTTGAAAGTACTGCTCTCCTACAAGCTCCATATCTCCACCTGAAGTCTCCTTGAGGTAACCTTCAGCTATCCACATCTTCACCAATTCATCTTTGACCATCTCGAAGTCTTTTGGAAACATGGCACAATACAAGAAACATTGTCTTACCACAGAAGGTAAATCGTAGTAACTCAAAAGCAAAGGTATAAATATTCGTCTTTCAACCTGATCTCTATCAACCTCATCTGGCCTCCACAGTTCGCTAGAAAAAACACGTTGCCACTCTTCTCTTGTTGCACTTGTTTGCAATTTTATCGCTGATATCTGTCAATCCTTCGCGCTCATCTTCGCGTCTTTCGTGGAATGCCAAGTTATTGAATATTGACCTGCATATCTCATCGGACAATTTCTCAATGTTGAGACATCCACGTCCCGTGCTTCTTGACTACTTTCAGCCACCAACTTACTTACAACATTTCTCTTTTCACCATCTCGACCAATCACGCTTGATTCATCAACAAAGGAGGTAGTTGTTAGTCGCTGGAGTTCATCAGTGGCTCTGTACAGATCAAAGCCATACTTATCTCTCTCTTTGGCAATGTCATCCACTTTTTCACTAACTTCTTTGATCTTCAGGGCAATGTCGCGACGTCGAACCACTTGATTGAAACAAAAGCAAGGAGATCCCAGGAAGGAACACCGTATCTTCTGTCGGCTGCGAGTATTTTCTTCAGCTTCCTCCATTTTCCATCTAAGAATTGCAGTGCTCCATTCATCTAGCACGTCATCCATATCATAACATGCATCTTTGAGCTTGTCTACCCAATCTCTTACAGCCTTATCCTTCACTTGTTTTCTATCTGCTTCTTCAAGGACAGATTGGATATCAAGGAGATTACTTTTCAGCTTGTCACATTGTTTCTTCACACCCACTACTAGGTTCACCTCTTCTTGTAAGTTGTACCTATTAGTGTACAGAGGAAAAGAAACGTTAAGCATAGGAAACATTTATATGATTTCAATACAAATTCTTAATTTTTAGCAATTAATAGAGTAAATCATTTTTATTAAACTTTTTCTCAGTTGCAATTAATATATTTATATTGTTAATTATATTCAAATTATATATAATAAACTGCCTAAAATAAAATGACTCGTACATAATGTAATGCTAATGCACAATTATTGCACTAAAATTTGCTAGATGCGTGAATTAAAATATATTTTATTTGAATAAAGGATTTCTTTAGATAAAAGATAGAATTCATAGATACTATAATAATCATATAATTGTGGAGCGCAATACATTGCAATTTCACAATATTATTACGTGACTTTTAATAATTATCATAGTCTATTTTTTTAAAAATTCTGTGAGGTTGATATCAAAATAAAAAAGAAATATTAGAATTTCTATAATCATGTTTGTAATTAATCGAATATTTGACTATATTTATTTTAATCATTTCATCATAATCATTTTATTACAAATATAGTGATTTACGCATTCAAATATGATAAGGAATTATTGAAAAAGGAATTTACTACTATTTTACTATATTGATTTGTTCTAACCAGCCATCACAATAACCATGGTTTGTACAGCACAAAAGATATAAAGAAAAAGAAAGAGAATCGTAAGAACCCGCTATCTTGTGTTTGTGTATGTGTATTATTTGATAACATGCAATGTGATAATATATAAATCAAGCTACTGATTTAGCTTCTGACAAATTAACAGATATTCTATAAGATAATGAAATCAATGTATAATGAACTATAAATGTTAGGTTAATTGCAAAATTGTAGAAAAGTAATTAAGTACCTGTTGATTATAAAAAAGAAAAAAGAAAGTACCTGTTGAGCAACGATCGTGGTTAACTGCTCCAAGATTGGGGATACAAGTGCGCCAGCCATTGTTGTTCTTACTACTGAATGTGTCAAGAACAAGGAGAGACAAAGGAATGGGGGATTATTGATAGGAAGAATAGTGATTCTCAATGAAGTTTAGGCAATATATACTGCAAATTAAGATAATTTGCTTAACACCGGGGTTAGGGTATGATTTAGAAAAATAAATTATTTTATGATGTTTGATAGTGTAATGAAAAATAAATTAAAAAATATTTTTTAGTATTTGGTTATGTTATGAAAAATAAGCTGGAAAATAATTTATTAATGTTTTATTTTTTTTAAGTTTATTAAAATAATAAGAAATAAATTTTATAAATTAAAAGGTTAAATGAAAATTAAATTGAATTTTTTTTTATAAATTATCTTAAATAAAATAATTATAAATTAAAATAATAAAAATAATAAAAATTAAATTAAAAAAATTAAAAAAAAAAGATAGAGAAATTAAAATACTAATAATTAATATTATATAAATTATTTTTTTAATATTTATATTATTTTTTTAATATCATGAATATATAAAGATGAATATATTCCTGGAAACCATCAACAGGTGAGCAATTAATTACCACTTTCAATAATCAAATAACGAAGAAGAGCCCGACAACTCGAGGTTCACTAATGATTGAACACTTACATGTTAGCTGGGGTATACAATAATTCCCAGGAGGTTACTGGTCGAGGCCTATAAGCGATCATACACTTGCACGTGGGTTGAGATGCATGATTATTTCCTAGAGGTAACGTGGGTTGGGGTGCACAGTAATTCCAAAGAGAGAATTCATTGTAGTACTACTAGAGTCCAAGCAGATATAACTTCGAAGTTCTCATAAGATAAGATCTGGTGTACTAGGCTAAAATTACAAGTCATAGTTAATCCTCTACCATGTAATGTAGTGATTCAGTACTCGCACCATTTCAAATTGTTATCACGTCTACAATCTATGTTTTGGTAATCTGTGTTTTTTTTTTTTTTTTTTGGGTTCAGGCACTGCTATCTATCTTGAATTCATGGCCTTCACTTAATAAAAAGTTTGGTCTGGAGAATCCTTGAACTTGAAAGGGGCTGTGATGGCATTTGGAACGCACAGGTACTGGGGGACTTGTCTTTTACTTGTAGAGATCATATCTATTGGATAACCTTATTATGATTTAATCCACTAAATTAATGTGTATCATCTTTAAAAAAAAAAAGAAAAAAGAAAAAAACAGAGAGAGAGAGAGATGTGAGAATAAATGGTAAGTAGGAAATAAAATCCAGGTCAACAATAGATTACAAATGATTTCAATCCAATTACAGCAAGGAGGTGTATGAAACAAATGGTGCTTAATACAACACTGAATGAAATCCTCCATTTGATTATACCAGATTGTCCTTCGATTTGATTCCAAAAATATTAAGGGAAAACCTTCAAATGCACAAAGCAAATCGGAACCCACTCTGAAGCAGCTCTTCAGCATGTTCTAAGCCCAAGCTGTTAAACACAGACCAAAAGCAAACGTGCCATAACCAAAACAACCCCATGAATGGTAGATGTTAAAATAAGCATTCCATTTTCCGAATGATAAAAATCCCAGTGACCTAACTATGACTTACATAATTAATTAAAATGGATTTGTTAAAATATAGTAAAATATTATACCGTTAAGGATTAACACTGGTAGAATAATTTACATGCTCCTGCCGGTTCTAATTAAAGAGTTCTGTCTTTCTCATCTATAATAATATATCATGACAATAAATATTTGGGATGTGAGAAATCTTTTGCCAATCTTCGCCCATCCCCTCCTTCCCGTAACGTTTCCATAGAATCGGGCAACCACTTATGTCTAATTCCTGTAAAGGCGCTGCCAAATCATAGTCTGGTAGTGCTCTCAACAACGGGCATTTATGAATTCTCAACTCTTGAAGTTGCGACATAAACATAAAAGTTGTCCTTTTTATGTTGGATTATGCAAATATGGAGGTATCTATATTGATTCTGATATCACAGTTTGATTTTATTGTCTTCCGTTAGTAAATCTATTGGTCTGAAGAATCCTATGTATGGAAGTTCTTTTTTTTTAGATTAACATGGATGTCCGGGCCACCTTTCACGTATCTCGACTAATTTCACGGGTCCTGAAGTTAATGACCATGTAAGTCTTTAGTGGTCATCATATGAGTAATCAAGGACTCGAACCTGAGACTACAGAAGAATCAAATCTCTTGATCCCAAGTCCTTACCACTTGACCACCATTTAAATGGTTGTTTGGAATTTCTTTAAATGGGATTGTGATGGCATTTAGAAAGCAGAGGCACCAGGGGCTTGCCTTTCACTAGCAGAAATCATATTTATTGTTGAAGATTTTTTGTGTTGGGTTTTGATAACTTTATTTGGATTTAATCCACAAAATCGATGGGTATCATCTCTTTTAGATGAATGGTTTAGCTTCCAAGTCTACCATTCTCTCATTTATTTGGACTTAATCTACTGTAACCGAGGTTTTATTTGCGCGGATAATGATAATATTTGGTGCTAAATTTCTTCTTGTGAATTGCAGAAAACAGTTGCTTGATCTTTACTAGGATGGTGATTGCAAATAATAATTATGCAACCCGGTGCGAGTTGCATGTTAGTATGTCTAGATACAGATGATGGCCTTCTGCGGTATTAGGTTGAGATTTTGGAATTTTTTTTTTTTAATAATAGCTAGCGTTCATGTCCCCTGTATAAACAAGGTTTTGATGTAGAAGATCTAAATGCAAGCAACATGGTTGATATTCTCATGTTTAGTACATTGAATTGTCTACCCTTCAAACGTTAGGATATGAAAGAAGAGATCGACGACTCCGTCGAGACTCGATTGTTGGCACTAAGAGAAAATAGCCAACATGGTTTTTTTTTCTTCAATAAATTAGATTTTTATCTTTAAAAATAGAAAATTTAAAATTTTGGCCCGCCCTCTAAAATCTTTTATCTATTTTGACATTCCCAAACTACAATTCCTAACTCCACTGCTTACTATACACACGAAGTCATTGTTTTATGATGAAAAAATAATAATTTTTTTATCCTTTTCTTGTACTTTTAAATTTTGGTTTCTTTTATCTTAGATTTTATGAATGATGAATTCCATAACAAGGATGATACATACCCATTAATCATACATGTCATTAATAACTTTAAAACATAGACATCTAATGGTGAAAAATATAAATACAACCATCAATTAAAAAATAAAAACAGCGATTAAATATATAAAAAGAAGTAATGGAAGTACAAGAAATAAAATAGAAAAATCAAAATTAGAGACACTTCCCTTGAAAAATATGAAGAAGCAGAGGCACTGACAACACTACAGACACTCACACACACAAGATTAAGCGCATTGAATAAACGACATGGATCCTTGGAGTGGCTGTTTGTCCAGGCCTTGGTGAGGTGGTGCAGGTAAATGAATTCACACCAAATACTCACTCGCTAATCCGTTTTATTTTTGTATATTAATTGTTGGTAAAATAAATAAATAAATAATTGGACTGTGTATATATTTATATAAAAAAGTCCAAAACGATTTACCCATTTTCAGTTAGGTCCTAAACACTGAAAATCCCAATGCTTCTGCCATCTATTATGACATTATCCAATTAATCCTCTCCTTGATTTTTTTTCCCTTTATATCATAAAAAAAACCCTATTCATGTTAAAACAAACTTTTCTATTTTAATTTTTAAGAATACAATGTTTAATACGAGAGATTATTAAATAATCATATAATATTTTAAATATTATTGTTATGAATTTCACTTTTGACATCAACAAAAAAGTATTGCATTAAAAATATCTAATGATAATAAAAATCTCTTATTAAAGGTAATTGGAGTTTCTCTAACTCAGTATATACTGATCAATACATGGATGTAATTATACTGTTATTTGTGGATATAATTAAATAATTAGTAAAAAAATAGATTTTCATGATTAAAAAAAATGAGGAAACTTTGAAAAAAGAGAGACAAAAAGAGACATGATATTTAATGTCTTTGATTATTTATTTAAATTGATATTTATTAACATTGTGATACTTGATAAGAGGAACTCCTTTTGTCCTGAGGAGCCTAAATTTTTTGTTCATCTAATGATTGCTATTTGAAAAATGGGGGATCTAATTGGAAATATATATTGTTTGTAACCCAAATGAGAATGACATGATAATTACAGGAAAAACAAGATGTCATTTTCCCAAAATAAAAAAAATAAAAGAGAGGATATGGTGGTGGGTCAACGTGTCAACAAACCCATTAGGCCGACAGTTGATGAGTGCTGACTTTTCGTGGTGGTCCCACTTGCTGGTGGGCTGCCGGTGGGGGTGTTTTCCTTTGACGATAAATTATGGTAGTTTCCTTGCCACTCTTGGAAATGAAATTTTCAATTTGTTGAAATTTCCATGCAATTCTTGGAAAAAATTCGTCCAGAGATGATGGATCCATGATGAAAACAGAGCAGTTTGTAAATGCGTCAAAAGTTTCACGGGATTTTGAATTTTTTTTATATATTTTTAAATAATTCTAAGATACTAATATAAAAAACAAATAGGAGCAGCCAAATCATTAAGCCAAAATTACGAGGAGCATATACGAAAAACAAGAGGAACTTCTTCCAAGTAGGAAAGGTGTTGCAAATGGATGAAATGCTGATAGCCTGATAATATCTCATACAACTTTATCTTGTTTCCTAGGAAATCTTAGAAAGATTATGGCAGATCTCCAGAATAGAATTGAACCACTGTTCCAAAATATAATCCAATGTTGCCATATAGATCCCTTCAAGTTCGTAGTTGATCCGAACGTTTTTAAACCATTACATGCTCAAACTGCTCCCAAATTCTCTGGTGCTTAATCATTCTACAATTCTCAATCGATGAAGTACATTGATATTATTTGGTTCAAGCATCTTACCCTCATGAAGGCCAGCTATCCCATACGCATCTTACCCTCGTGAAGGCCAGCTCTCCCATAGGAATTTCAAGAAGATCAGATTTGCAGAATAATTCAGAACCAAATACCACTGAGCTTACCTTCCCATGAAGGTTGATCAACAGTGTATAGGTGTCAGTAGAGGGCTGGCAGCCATCATTTTTCAATCGCTGAAAGATCTCAATTGCTCTTTGAGGGTTTCCAGCCTTCATTAACCCATCAATATAAGCATTGTATACAATTGCACCTGGCCAAAATTAGAGTATACGCTCACTTTTCACTCCTTGAATGTGCATGCAAGTGTATCAACAGAACAGCTTGAAAAATGAAAATCTGAGACGTGTAAATAAGAGAACGAAACACAAAAGCAGAACTAATGCCCTGTATTTGACCACCGCAAAAAGAAGAGAAATAACCCACGCATTCTCATAAAGGAAAGCTACAGAAGCAAGTTTGTCATCTAGAACAGTCTAGCCTAATCCAGTTCCGGTCTCGCTAAATTAGCAAGGGGTCCCTCTTGGTTTAATCAACCAATCTCTAAGCATGGTGATGTAGATAAGGAGTAGTTATCACTACTATTATAGTAGCAACAAGAAATATGCAGACCATTAACCAATCTTCTCTTTTCCTACGTTTAGTATACTTCACCCCCGAAAAGAAAAAATAAACACAGCTCTGTGCAATTATTGAGCGAGGTTTCAAAATTTAAAACGAATTTAACCCCACAAAAAATCAATTTTTGAGGAAAAGAATCTTAAAAGTTGAGGAAATTTTTGATTTATAAGAAATGGTTGATGTAGTCCAATAACTTCTTGAAAATACAATTCCCCTGAAAGCTAAGAAGAAATGAATTGGTAAACACATACTTGGAGGAAGGCTATACTTTCGCATATCAACAAAGGCAGCTTCAGCTTTTTCTAACAATCCACATGCACAGTAAGCCTTTATAAGAAGGGCATAAGTGTCTTCAGTAGGGATACACCTGGCATGAAGAAGATCAAGATATGTTTCTTCTGCCTTCTTGTACAAAGATTTTTGCCCATAAGCATCTATTAGTAAATTGTAGCACATGACATCTGTCTGGAAGGAGCTCTTGTACAATATCCATTGACATATCTGGAAATTTTAGAGTTGCACCCAACAAGATTATTAAGAATTAAAAACACTCGATATTAAAAATGTCGATATAATAAATAGACAGTGAAGAGATTTGTTTCATTTAGTTGTAGGAAAATGCTGGTATATGAGAATTCCAAGCACCAACTGCGGCACCAACCACTTAAAGGAGATTTGAACAATCGAGGATTCAGTCTTAATGTTTGAAGAGAAAAATACTGTGCAAACATCCTGCCACAAAAATATGTGCGTGTGGTTTAATCCATCGCCTACCACCCTACACGCTGAAAGAAATAAGGCACGATTTACTCACCAATGCAATCGGATCCCATTGTTTATTCAAACGAAGTTGGACGGCTACATTAATAAGATCATCCCAAGTCTCGTGAGTGACCGGAAGAGTATCAAGAGCAGCCCAAACATTATTCGGATCCACTTCTTTCCGCACAAAGTTCAGAATCTGATGAGCAACAGGACTTAGCACCGGGAAAATCCCATCAACAAATCCTGATCCATATTTCCATCCTTGTCCCCTCAAAGAGCCACCTAGGTATAAATGATGACTTAATAATTGAAGCCATATGTGCTTGAGCAGTTATATGTATGAGCACAAAGTGAATTACTCCGTATTACATCGTTTCCTGGACATCTTTTTGTGATCAAAGATTCGCCATTTGCCATGTTTGTCGATATAGACCCTGTCGCTTTTCCACATTTTAACATCTCCAATACTGGAATTCTTTTCTCTGCGTCTGAAATGACCATTCCGGATTCTTGATTCTATAAAAATATGATTCAGTGTGCATCTAACAAGCAACCTGCAAACACTAATCAAGTAAACACACAATTGCCAGCAACAAACATACACACCTCTTAATTTAAAGCCATTACACAGAGGAAGCAACCAAATAAAATCCATATAAAGGATGCTTTAGACTTCAAAATAATTGGACAAAGAGAGACACTAAAACTACTTTTAATCACAATAGCAAACACATGAAATGCAAACCAGAAAACCTAGTTAAAAAAGAAGAAGAAAAGTTGTCAACTTTCCCTTTCTAAACCAAATATCTACTACCTTCCGTAATAATTCTTAACTGCTGTGAGTATGGGTTGTATTTTCATTACAGAATGAAATATTAGTCTAAACTATCTGATTAAACTACAAAAATCAAAATTTGCAAGATTAAACTACAAAAAACGCAAAAAAACAAAACGGTTTCCGGTCAACAACATAGTATCTAAGCACCCATCAACAACACAGTACATTCGAAAATGACAAGAAAATGAGAAAAAGAAGAAGAAGTAACAAATAAAAAAATAATAAATGTTTACTTACAGAAGATTCAACGACTAAAATAGATGGCAATTTCTTCTCAGTTGCAATAACAACACCGTTTGCCGCTACAACACCAAAAAAATAATAAAATCAACATAGCATCGAAGCACCCATCAACGACACAGTACCTTCGAAAATGACAAGAAAATGAGAAGAAGAAGAAGAAGAAGATAGAGAGCTTAAATTGCAACAACCTTTGATTCTGAGAGAAGTTTGGCCTGATCCAACGGCAGCCAATGCGTGCTCAATCTGTACTAGCTTTCCGGTAGGTTGGTCCTCTTTACAATGGAGTACATTGGGCTTTTATGACGGCAGGTTGGTCCTCTTTACATTGGAGAAGGAGGTGTTTTCTTAGAAGGGCTTTTTAATTTATTTAATTACATGTATATATAAATTTTTTATTTTATTATATTTTTTGAACTAGAAAAATATATTTAAAGAGATGTATATATAAATTTTTATAAAAAATAAAAATATTTGACTCACAATAAATCATTCAAATTTTTATATAAAAAAATAAAGATGGGTGAACTCTTAATTAGGCATTGCTGCTAAATTTTATTGTTGATTTGTAATTTAATTACTGTTGAAGATTTTCTGTGTTAGGTTTGGATAACTTTATTTGGATTTAATCTCCAAAATCGATGGGTATCAATAACTAAATAGATGAACGATTTAGCTTCTCTCATTTATTTGGATTTAATCCACTGAAACAGTTGCTTGATCAAGATCATTGACTTGTTTTAAGGCAGATAAAGGCATTAAAAAAAAAAGCGAGAGAAAAATAATTATGTCATCTTAGATTACATATCATTTTGAGAAAATCTAAAAGAGAATATCATCTTAGATTAATTATAGATATGAGAATATCATCTTAGATCAAGTTTTTTAGAGCCGCACTTGAAGAATTCAAGTAAGGAATAAGCGCTTCACATGAGCGAGAGATAATTTCATCTTAGATTAATTTTTTAACTATTCTTTAATAATTACT